CATCAGCATCAGCATCAGCATCACCACCATCATCATCATCATCACCATCACCATCACCATCATCATCATCATCATCATCATCATCATCGCCATCATCATCATCACCACCACCACCATCATCATCATCATCATCATCATCATGGTCACCATCACCATCGCCATAACCATAATCACCAACATCATCGTAATCACCAACATTATGGTCGGCACCATCACCGTAGCGACAAGTCAAATTCTGATCGCGACGTTCTTTGAAATCTGTCGTCGTCGTGGTAGCCCTCAGCCTACAGATCAGTTGAAAGAGTGCGCTGCCCCTTCTCTGGGGCTCTGACTTCGCGGCTTTGTTGGGGATCTGGGCAGGACGTGCAGCTTTGCCTTCAGTGGGACAACGTCTCCCGCAGCCTCTTCAGTGGTGCGATTGACGGCACCCTTAGTAGATGGGACGCCTGGTCAACTTTAGTGGATGTTTGTCGCTGTGGTTTTGGCTTCTATGGCACCCTCAGGTCAGGTTACACGATGGGTCAGAAGCTTTAGGCTGTGAATCTGGCTGCTTGGAGACAAGGACTTGAACAACATGACCCTTGCAGACATCCGCAAAGGGAATCACAAGAAGGCCCATTTCTGTCCAGCATTGAAGCTTGAGCGCGAGCACAGCACCGGCGCTTGGCTAGCTTTGGCCTCTTTCATCTGCAGTTCTCATGACTCTTCTGACCGCGGCGCGCAGGCCATCAACGATCTTTTGATGGCACAGGACATCAACCTCTTGGCTTCTGCATCTTCGGATCCGGCCTCAGCGAAGTGCATGAGAGTGCCAGGCTGCCAGGTCAGATTTGGGGGGTAAAGGAGAGCAGCTAGTCAGCCCTGTAACCTTCCTGGAAGTCCTGGCATCGTGGTGCTGACAAGCATGCAAGACACGCGCTCCGAGCTTCCTTTGATGCCTTGGCCCCAGGATGGAAGTATCCTTATGCGCCTCGGCCGCACGAGGGCTTCGACTGGGCGGACTGCTTTCTTTTTTGCAGTTGTGAGGTGGGACACAGCCACCATGAAGCCCAAGAAGACCTTCAAAGGACACAAGAAGGCGCCGAGTCTGAAGTCAGGCGGTTTGCTGAGGTTCTTGCGGTACCAGGTATCGGGCTTTCGAGCATGTAAAGACGCTTGGCTTCGAAACGCCTGGCTCAGGGCACCTTCTCTCTGGCTTACTCCATGGCGCGGGGACCCAGCAGAGGGCCGAATATCTTGAAATTTCTAAACCTAAACCCTAAACCCTAAACCGAATATCTTGAAATTTCTACCAAGAGTCTGCCCGGGCCTTTCGGGATGGAGGCGCCTTTCTGGGCGCCAGTAGGGCATGTTGCAAAGGGCTGCAAGGGTGGGATGAAGGTAGGTGGGAAAGTTCCAAAATAAGAGGCCTTCTATAAGGGATCCTTAATCCTACCCAGCTTCATCCCACCTTTGAATCTGTTGAGGCCTCCAAATGTTTTTGTACGTTTTTGTACAAATCTGTACTCCTTAAGCTAGAGAACATGCGGCTGCGATCTCACCGCCAGACTTCAGGCTTCATGCTTTCTTCGGGTCTGCGGCTTTGCATTCAAACGGCTGAAGGGCTGTACGTCGCGCTGTGGACGCAGGAAAATATCCTCACGAAATTCGGGCTCATCTGGATCCCCAAGCCCTCAACCCTCAGTCGCGAGGATTACCACTGCTTGCTGACGGCCGGCCTGGACCAGGAAGCCTTGGCGGAAGCCCCGGTGCAATCCCTCGGCCCGAAATCCTGCACGTTAGGGCCGAAACCCGACCTGCCCTCATCCGTGCCGTGGCCACGCTGGAGGGTGCAACATAGCCTCGAGAGCAGCAGACCAGCATAGCTGCATTCGGAACGGTGCGCTGCTTGCTTCGGCTCAGACCGTATTTTACAAAGAGACGAGGATTTAGCTCCGGCCTTTCTCCCGGTTTTCGGCCGTAGCAGACACCCAAAAGCGCCTCAGTTGCAACTCGCTGACCTCGCGCGCCAGGGAGGTTCGTTTAAGACTGGTTGCGCCAGTTGTCATCCACTGATTCTGGGCTTGCCATGCTAATGGAGGGGAATGATGGTTCAGACTGTTTTCATTCTTGCCACTCATACTGTACAGCCCATCGATCCACAGGAACGGCTGTTCACTGCACTTCTCTGCCCTGGCAGGAGGTTGTCCACATCCTTGTCCGTGCGTCATGACTGCTGCGAAGACTGTCACGCTGGCCGCTGAGCTGAACAAGAAAACCCATAGAAAATCGGTTCGACAGCAACAGCAACAGCGCGGTAGCCGCAGCTCACCATGCGGCTCACTGGCCGGTGGTGTGATCTATTTCCATCTCTTTGACAGAACCAGAACCCAGGAGGCTCGGGACATCTGCCTGAGTGGCGTCCAGGAGCCGGTGGGCTGTTTCGATAGGCTTAGTTCGGTTTGATGCTCCTCCATCCAGGACCCAAGTAGGACTCCACCTGAGGACGAGACTCTTAAGCTCCAAACATCCGTAAACCCTAGAGCCACGGCTCTTTTCAGGAGCTGCCGGCGGAGTCCCTGCAACGAACGGCCACTGGGCTGCCTTGAGCTCTCGAGAAGTTGTCAGGAGGCCGACCCCCGGAGATATAGACCCTCTCAATAAGGTCCCTTTTAAGAGAGCCAGAAGTAGGGTTCAGAAGGGGTACCCTTTAAGGGGTACCCCTAAAAATACTACCTGCTTCAGCCGGCCTTCAAGCCCTGCCTGAGGTGAGCCCTTGCTATCCTGCAGCGGTCTCAGTTGACAGCGAGGGCTGTCTGGGCTTGGCTGCTACAGTATGCTTGGGATTTGAGGGTTTGGGTTTTGGATGGTCGAAGATGTCAAACGGTTCTTCGTCCAGTTCTTCAAGTCATGCCCCCTTTTTGCCTGCACGTGTTTCGACGATGGACCCTGTTCAAGATATGGATTCCGAGAATTGTTTTTGCACCACGGTGACATGTATCAGGTTCCTTTTGCTTTCACAGGGTGGCGCTGCAACAGCAATCGGCAACACAAACTTCTGGGACAGTTCAAGCAGTGAAGAGCCAGGCTATTCCTCACGGGGGTCTCTGTGCTGTTGCTGACGTGCCTCCGCAAGCCCACTTTCAGCTGCTAAATCATGCAAGTCCCCAAACTCCATGTCTGTTTGCAATCCCTGCGCCCAACTTGAAAAATCCCAAGCCCTGAACCGGGAAACCCAAAAGTCCTGTTTCGGTGTGCATGCGACCAACTTCAACTTCGTTCTGCCCAGACGGAGCGAGTCTACTCCCCAACGGCTTCGGTAGCGCCGTCCGTTGCCACAAAGGTGCGGCTCTTAGCGGACTTGAATCAGGACCGTAGCAGCTGCAGTAGCAAGTGCTGTTCGCACACATTCCGTGTACACGTCAACCAGCCACACAAGGCAGCAGGCAGGCAGTCAATGTTGACGTATCTTCTGGTACCTGTATTCGAGTAGCAAGACGTACATACTACCAAATAGGTACGTATGTATTTATGTATGTATGTATATGTATGCGTATGTATGTATATATATGTGTGTGTGTGTTTGTATGTATATGCGTGTGTGTGTGTGTATGTATTCATGTATGCATGCATGAATATAGTGTAATGTGATGCAATGCAATGTTATCAAACGTAGAGTATTATGATGAATGCACTGTAATGCAATGTAATGCAATGTGATGTAATGTATGTAATGTGTTGAATGTATGTATGTAACGTGTGTAATGTAGTGTATGTAATGAACGAAATGCGTCTCATTTAAACTGTATGCATCATACATAATGAATGTAACATAATGCAATGCACTGTATGTAATGGGCTGTATGTACTGTAATGTAAGTAAGTAAATGCGCATGTATGTCTTTGTGTGTGTGTGTGCCTTTGCTTTTGCATGCAAGCGAAATGATGGGATGGGAGGGCAAACCGACCGATGGAGGCACCACTTCATCCTTCCTTGCAGTGTGTCACCGTGTGTGTGTGTGTGCGTGCTTCTGGTAAAGCCGCGGCAGTAGCCGACATCATAGTCATGGTCGTTGTGGTCGTCGTCGTTTTCGTCGGAGTTGAGTAGCTGCCGCAGCAGCAGTGGTAATCGTCGTGGAAGCAGCAACAGACATGGTACTGTCGCTTATGTATCAATGGTTTGATGGATACAGACGTCTGCTAAGGTCGAGGTCACTTGTACTGGTGACAAAGCCGTGCCCCAGCTGCAGATGGGCTTGAGACTTCACATCCGCGGTTCAACTTAGTGTTGGGGACTCCGGTTTCCGGAAGTGCAGCAAGCGGGCTGTAGGTCCAAACAAAGGGTTCAAAAGGCTTAGCCGAGCTGCGCATTCGGCGAGGATGGCTGGTCGGGAGTGCAAACCCGGCAAGTGGGCCCCGACTCACTTCGAGCCACAGTGGTCCCGTTGCTCCATTGGTGATGCTGATGGCGGCGGCGGTGTTATTCGTTCATCCTCTTTCAAGGTAGGTCGGTTCACCCCAAAAGATCAGAAACCTACGGACGGCACGAGAAATCGAGAGTCATCATCATCATCATCATCATCATCAGCAGGTTCCTCCTTCTCATCATCATCCCGACGTCCAACAAGACGATAATCATCGTCGCTTTAGGGAGGGTGACCACAGAAATAACAGTAACGAATGATAATGTGCAGAGAAAAGACAAACCGCTGCAGTCACGGCAATATTGTCCACACTCCAGCCACAGACAAGGTCAAGGCAACCGTGACGTCCACGCGGCGTTTCATGAAGATCTCCAGCTTGAGCTTCTGGGGAGTCGTCTTCATCTTCGCCTCCTGCTTGCAGCACGTGCGTGTTCAGGTTTCAGGATCTTCCGATGTTCTTCCTTGAGCTGCCAATCTTCCATGCCAGAATCTCCTTCAGAAACCAAAAAAAGCCCACCTGTAATAGGAATCTAGATTAGGGGCCTTAATAATTAGAACAGGGTTTTGGGGGTTCCTTATGGTTCCTTATTGCAAAGCCCTACACCTCTCTGATGCCGTCGGAAAGTCCTCGCAGAAGGCTTTCTTCGGCTGGCCAAGCACTGTGATTGACAACGACGACGTGCACAGGCTCGGGAGTGCTAATGTCGGGGGCTTGATAATTAGAATAGGGGTTTTGGAAGTTCCTTATT